GAGCGGACGCCTACGACTCCTTGGAGAAAAGCCGATATAATTCAATGGTTATCCGGAAAAAACATTTCTTTTGAAACAAATATGGGGAAAAAGGAACTTTTGACACTTGTCAATCTTAATAAAGATAAAAAAATATGTTATCGATGAAATGGCAACAAATCGCCAAATAACGGTACTACGGTTACCACCTTATCACTGTGAACTTAACCCACTTAACCCAATCGAATTAGTCTGGGCGCAGTTAAAAGGAGATGTAACGCGAAATAATACGACGTTTAAATTAAGTGACGTGTAAATTTTGTTAAAAAATTCCTTAGAACGAGTAACTGCAGATAACTGGCAAAGATGTATACATCATGTACAAAAAGAAGAGGAGAAAATCTGGGAACTCGATAATTTAATTGACGTTACTGTGGAACCTATCGTTATCAATCTAGGAGACGAAGATGATAATTCATCAGAATATTCAGAGGATGAATTTTAATATACCTACTTTTTTATTTTCTTTATTGTACATTTATACAACACTACATTTACTCACCATAATTTGAATTTTCAAAATACATATATTTATGTGTGGAATAAAAGTCTATTCATTAAATTTAAATAAATATTTTGATAATAATATTGAATAATTTTATTTGAATCACTAAAAACCCTCTTAACCCGGTTATGATGCTTAAAGTAGCCTCATGTTTTGAAATGCTGTTTTTATATTGTTTACTTATTAAGAGAAATGGACCGAGAAATTGAAGCGGCATAGGCAAAGACGGATTGTCGGGGATTAAATTTTAGCTACCTGCTACAATTTAGTACAGTCCGATCGCACAAAGTTTTTTTAAAAGTACACATCCTATACTGATAATACAAAATATAAAAATATTGAATATAAGCACCAGTACTACATTTATTTACGATTTGCATACATAATAAGCTTTTATTACTCTCTTTCATTTCTAAACAGACTATACCAACTTCGGCTACAAAATAGAAATTATTTTACTAATCAAATCATCAGACCATCTCTGATTTTAGAGGAAAATTATGAAGTTTTGAATTCAGGACGACGAAGTTCAAAATTCAGTTTTTTTTTTAATTTTTGCATTTGTTTCAAATTTGATGTCAATCATTTTGTAGTGCCGAAATATCGAATATTAATAGTAAATATAAGTTGTCTTTAAGTTTAATTTCTCTCTGGTGTCTTAAAAAACCTCCTTTCACGAAATTCATGGGGGAACCCTAAACATAGCCAGTCACTGATTGTTTCTTCCAGTTTAGTTCACAAGTTTATTCAAATCATTTACATACACACGAATTGCCGTTTAAAATGCTTACCCATTGTGTGGGCGTCGCATTCTGTTAACAGAAATCCGCGCGTTTGTATTTTGTGTGAAAACAATTCCCCGTTCATATATCCTTGTCCCATTGTCCTACCGCCGATTCTTTCGACTGCATTGTGATTCGCACCCGGACTTTGTTCCCGTTGTTTCTCGCAAACTGATCCGTATTCTTTTCGGCTCGGAGCCGTTCAGTATTCAGTTCCGTATTGAAACAAGAAAGCCACTTATTAAGGAAATGCCTTGGAATATGCAAACAGAGCGTTGTAATGCGAGAGCGTTTCCTAGAAACGGCATAAAGAACTTCTTGGAGTTATAAATAAATGTTTTCAAAACAAGTTGTTGCTTCGTCATTTGCTCGGATACGGGGGTCGTCCGGAATTTAGCACCCGTTTACGGACAAAAGACGTCAAGACCACGCGATCTGTCAGAGTCATTGTCCTGTCACGCCTTAGCGATACGGAGAAAACTTCTATTGTATAGTCTTTCCGATCTCAATTCAAGAACCAAGAGGTTGGCAGTATGTACCAGGTTCGGTCGCTGACGCAGCAACTCGGCATTGAAATATTTGAAAAACTTGTTCGCACATTTTATTTAGCCATACCCATATACAGGTTTGGTCGAAGGTGGTAGAAATGTATACGTCCAATTGAAGAATGCACGCGCGTGGAAACGGCGTACACAGACAGCCGAACTGGGCGACTGGGCAATAAATCTCTGCTGTTGACAAGTGGCTAACATATTGCTTAGCAGTGCAGTGCAGTAATGCAGAATTTGATAATTTTAATTTATTATAGGCACCTTCTATTAATCATTCATATTACAATTGCGAAAGCGAGAAATAAGAGGGATATTTTGTTTACTAATATTATTACAGCATGGCATTTTGGAGACCTTTTGAAACGGAACAAAACGAAATTTTCCATCAATATAATAAAATTGTTTGAGGACATAAATAATTAAAATATGTTGTCGGCCCAATGAACATATAAAAGAAATTTTCTCCATATACATATACAAATTATTATAATTTTTTACCTTTAGCAGAAAACTTTTTTAGAAACGCCTATGAAACTCGTTAAATTTTATTGCTAGGCGTTTTTATACATGTTCAACTGATTTCGGAAAGACTATACTTCCAGTGACAGCCCTGTTTTCCACCGTTTTTTCTATAAGTCAAAATTAGTCATAATTGATTTATATCTCAGCACCATTCGAGAAACGGAAGTTTATATTTGATATGAAACCAAATACTATAAAATAACGCTTCAACAACTTTTTAAAGTGTGCGATACAAAGTGACGTTTTTTTTCTGTTGGATATTTGTTCGATGCAACAAGCAGTTCATATAAAATACCCACACTTTAATAAGAAATGGCTCTGTTTTCTAAAATTTAAGTGGATCTTTTTCAGCAACATCTAAAATATCTTATATCTTGCAACAGTCTAGATGATTTACGTTAGGTCTTCTATCATGTCAACCATGACCTTCCTGTATGTGTCCTGTTTATACAGTCCTTTGAAATAATTTAAAAAAATATATGTAACACCTGTTTATTTTTAAGTATTGTAATAATAGAAATCAATATATACTTTATTATGAAATGAAAGCTATCGTGGTTGCTTTGAATCAAACCTCAGCTGTTCACACGGAATGCGCCAGCTAATTGTTTATTTGCCCTTGAGATAATGTAATTTATGAGTGCCAAAATGTAGCCCGGCATGCCGAAACTAAGAGAGGTTGTTCTTTGTAGGATATACCTTGCATCCTAAAGTTAAGGGGAGTATAATCCCCCGGTGAGTTACCTATTTATTTGTTTTTTTATTGACAGAACAGTAACTTTAATATTTGTTTCATATACCCTCTTAATTTCTGGCGAAAGACCCGGCTGTTGTCGAGATGAACCGCTTTGTGGTGACCCATGTATAAAAGGTAGCAGTACCAACAATAACATCTATTTTACACCTATGAGCTGCGAAATTAAATCGCAAGTGAAAATCCTTCTCACGGTGTTGTGGGAGCATTTTGTTGGCATACCCTGTCTACTAATATATCAATTAATTCTACGTTACTGTAAATTTTAAACAGTGATATGTAGAATATTTTTCAAGACCCAAATCACCACTACTTTACGAGCCGTCGTAAACAACGAAAATAAATCAAAAAATGAATCATGACTACTGTACAAAAATAATTTAACTAACTCTTAACTTTTTTGTTCGAGTTTCGCCTATTTAATATAAGAATTTAACATTGTTTATATCTTTTATATGGATGTAATTGCTTAAGCGATTTTTGTTCAAAACCTAAACCGGTAGTAAATTCTAAATCGCCCTCGTAGACACTGACAAAAGAAAATTGTCAGAGACGTAATTCGGCTCGGTGACGTTTATTGATAGCGTGATGAAGCGATGATGAGTTGAGACGAATGGAAAACTATTTCTCAATCGTCGTTTATGTAGTTCAACTGTCGGCAAATACCTCCCGAGTGTTTACACCGTAAGTTTTCAAGGAAACCGCTAAAATTAACAACAATAAAATTTTTATTGGGTGACTGAAGTGCAGTTTCGTCGAAAACAAGTTTTTTGCGCCGATCCGTTCGCCGTCAATTGTTTAATTACGGTCTTGGAAATTCACCAGCGGCGATTTGATTTCCTTGTTCTCAACGAGGTGATTTTGGAGACTGAGAGGACTTTGATCTTTTATCCTATACGGACTTTTTTTATAGCATTCGTCGGAAACCAAAGTCCAACTGTACGCATTAAAAGAGAGTAATAAACACACACAAACAAAGACTATAACTTCTTTGATAGTAAATATTTTGGCTACATTTATTTGTCAATTTATGTATAATATAATATTTAAAAGTGAAGAATTGCGACCAACATAAAATATAATATTTGTTGAAATATAATTCCAAGAAGACCCCTGCGTTACTGTCTTGGAATTAACCGCATTCGACACCCGAGACAGAAAAACATTGGTGAAAAATTTCAAGGCACGCCTCTGTCCCTGTAAATTGTTACAGTAGTTCCAATAACAGAACTTTATTGGCTTATTATTTTCTTGGAACTATATCTGTGTTAACAATTTAAATTACAAATTAATAATAACGTTAACATGTACAAAATAACACTTTTATTTGAGTAATCAGTTCCAGACAGGGTGACAAACGTTGTACATACATATTTCCTTATTGATCGAAAGTCTGTTAATACAAGTGCTAGGAATCTTTGACCTGCCCTTGTTGTTCTCGGGGTAGGTTCTGTGTGGGCGGACCCGCTATCAGAACCCTAAGGCCCGCCTAAATAAGGAAGTGTTGAACAAAATATGAATGACACTGATCAGTATATTTATTAGAAGACAACAAGTTAACAATTAACCTACCTAAGTAATTCTGTAAAAAATAGTAATTTGGTTTGAAAGATGCCAAAATTGTGCATATGTATTTCTAAAAATATTTTGTTACTTCATTTTATTTTTACTTTGTTACCTTGTCTAAGCTTTGTCCAACTCTGTGTAGTCTTATAATTCCTTTTCACTGTTTCAAAAAGATATATCGCAATATAAAAAAAATAGTTTTTTTTTATCCTTACAACGTAAAATATCTCCAATACTTTTTTCTAGTCTTCCCATTTCTTAATTATATTTTTTTTTTTCAGAGCACGTGTGGCAAGTCACCCTCCTAAACCGGGGCCTTGGTACAAACCGGATAGGACCCTACCGATTGTGTCTCACAGATAAAACGTTAACTCTGATAAAAAAGGACGAGAACGGCGTACTTGACTTGCAGCTGACCAACATCCGAAGCTGCGGTAGTTTGAGGAATTACTTTTTCCTAGAGGCGAGTATACCCATTAAATTTACATTTTCGTTAGATACTTTTGTTAGATACAAACGGAAACGAAAATTCTAGTGTCACTGATAGGTTTCTTCGACTAATGACTATGTGAAAACAAGTTTAAATCATTAGAAAGTGTAGCAAAAACTTAATTGTTTATGTGATTTTACTAATATTCAACCAAATACAATGTTTAAAGTACTAGAGCACAGCAAAAGTACTAGTTAATGTAATTTTATATTTATGTTGAAAATGTGAAATTCCATAAAATTGAAAATTTATGGTAGATACATATTTTTCTGTAAATTTAATGTAATTTTACAATATATTGTGGCTCTACCAGCACAAGGTTTGTAATACTGTAGAATGCATAAAAATATGAGCTAATATAATTTTACATTTATGCTGCAGATGTAGATATGATTTTATAAATGAAATCCTCAAAAATTTACAGCAGATCTACATTTCAAATCACTATTTTCATATGCATTAGAACTTATCATGCTTTAACCATAAAAAAGGGATCAGTTTAGCATACAAATGTTTTCTTTATCTGTACATTTGTTGATGGCGTTGCTGTGCAAAGAAATTTTGCTACCCTTGGCAAAACAAAATAGCTATATTATACACAGTCAAATTTTATGGATTTTTTTTCTATTCGTTTGTTTATACGTCATTTATAATCGTTCTTGGCATCATTACAGTTTTTCTAAAGTCGATTTGTTAAGAGATTATCTAATAATTTGATGATATATTAAAGGATCATTTAAAAAAAATTGAAAACTGACATAAGTTGATTTTTACATGATATTTATTAGGTGTCAAAACAACAGTTTTTTGTCTACAGAACGTAAAAAACCAATGAAATTATAGATGATACAATCAGTTCACCAGTTCACTTGTTATTAACAAAATCATAAATTTTAACAATAATTCAATTATCAATCAATTTAACAGGTAAACAAAAAATATTTGATATGTATTAAAATATGTGCAGTACCTAAATTGTAGAGGACATGTATTCACATTTCAAATAAATTCATTTTAAATGTGAAAATTTTTCTTCACATTTTTAATAATTTTTGATCTGTGGGATATAGTTTTCGAAAATATGTTGTTTGATACTTGATTGCGAAATTATTTTGCATTCTCGAATTCTTTTCGATATTTAGCATCAAAAATAATTATTTTCGAAAGCTGTCATCAAAAGTCAACATTTTCGTTAAATTTTCAGTTGACAAAGTGAGTTCTAGAATGCTAGTCTTTTTCGTTCTGGAATATAAAACAAATGTCAAAATAACTTATCATTTTTTCAAAATTTGTGATTTTATTAATTAAGCAATATATAATATAACATTTCAATACAAAATAGTAACTATTATAAACAGGACGATTACAATTTATTTTGCACTATATGTAAATTGAAAGTGCCGATATTGGAGTGAGTTTAATTTATGCCAGGTCCACTGCTGTCAGTTACAGTCCAGGAGAATTACACATTGGCATGGCTGTTGCTTGACGTAGTTTAGATATTAGTAAAAATCGGTCGAAAATAATATAAACAATGAAAATATAAGGTTGCGCCAAGAAAAAAAGTTGTGCTATTTGCAGAAAAGATTAAAAACTGCAAAATTACTAAAAAATCACGTGTTTTTTCTAACATTTGCCAATATAACTTCTTAAATATGCAGTTTCCAGAAAAAACTATTACTGATGAAATTGTTTGTTATGAAATTTGCTATAAGACATAATTGTTTTGATACCTGCGCATTTCATATTTTTGTTGCTAAATAGCCAAAACAACGTAAGAAAGTGTTGAAAATCGAGGTAATTTGGAAGCGTCAAATTGACATGCAAGAGATTGTCCAATTCTACTATAAATGTAGATGTAAGTATTTTAAAGGATTACAAAACGAAATCCCAAAACCCGATCGAAATCGGTCTGATAGTTTTGCTATGAGACAATTTGTTACTAAATTTCAGCGCGAAATGTCGTTATTTTTTTTTGCGTTAGTGCTGAGGTTAAAGTTAGGCATTTTAATTGGCGCTGATTTTTTTACACATACTTGGACTCTTTAACTATCATATAGTATCGTTACAATATTAATTTTCTTTTTTAAAATAATTTTTGGAGCGATTTTAAAAATTCGAAAAATTTTGACTTCATAAACAAATACTTTCGTGAAGCGGTTTTGCGGGTTGGAATATATACCAAAGTACTAAAAAATAGTTCTCGGAAAGACGCTTAACTTGAAAAAAAGAACGTTCAAATCGGTCGCATAAGTTCCGAGATATCAAGTGTCAAAGTCAACAAGCGTTAGCTGCAAAACTATCCATAATGTAACAACAACAAAAATTGAATTTGGTAGGTTTTTTAAGAACTTTTCGTATGTGCTTTTATAAATATTATCACACGTGTATGCAAATTCAATGAATATCGCCAAACCGACCATTTGAGCCGCAAAACCGGGGGGAGGGGATGAATGATAGAAATTGAAATCGCGCGTTCAAAAACAACTTGCCCTCTTCGGCGTTCAATATCTCGGCTTCTACGGCTCCGATTTTGATGTTTTTTTTTAAATCGATATAGCAAAATGAGAGGAATTCAATTATCAAGATTTCATTGAAATATTATAAAGCCTTATCAGCCTATTACGACTGCTTAAAATTTCACACATTTCATTGTTATATTTTCATGTAAATAATATCGATGGTAGATATTCTATTGTTAATACGTATTCATTTTAATAACTACTTGGTAATAATGTTTACAATTTTGAAATTTTTATGTAATAATGTAATTTATTTATTGTATACATATATTTAATATAAAAAAAATGCAGATACAAATAATTATTATTTGATATTTATAAAACGTATCATCGCATTATTAAAAAAGTATTCCGCTGTTTTATAACATAGTTGCTGATTTCGCTCTCAAAATTTTCTGCCTAAAGAGATACTGAACGCGCGCGCTCTTTGAACACACGATTTCAATTTCTATAATTGATCCCCTCTTCTCGGCTTAACGATATTCATTAAATTTTCATATAAAAAGCACACGTGCGGTCATATTTATAAAAACACATACGTTAAAAAACCTACCAAATTCAATATTTGTTGTTGTTACATTATGTATAGTTTTGCAGCAAGCGCTTGACCGATTTGAACGTTCTTTTTTCAAGTTAAGCGGCTTTCCGAGAACTATTTTTTAGTACTTTGGTATATATTCCAACACGCAAAACCGCTTCACGAAAGTATTTGTATATAAAGTCAATATTTTTCGAATTTTTAAAATCGCTCCAAAAATTATTAAAAAAAGAAAATTAATATTATAACAATTCTATATGATAGTTAAAGAGTCCAAGTATGTGTAAAAAAATCAGCGCCAATTAAAATGCCTAACTTTAACCTCGGCACTGACGCAAAAAAATAACGACATTTCGCGCTAAAATTTAGTAACAAATTGTCTCATACCAAAACTATCAGACCGATTTCGATCGGGTTTTGGGATTTCGTTTTGTAATCCTTTAAAGTACTTACATGTACATTTATAGTAGAATTGGACAATTTCTTACCTATCAGTTGAACGCTTCAAAATAACCCCGATTTTCATCACTTTCTCACGCTGTTTTGGCTAACTAGCAACAAAAATATGAAATGCGCAGGTATCAAAACAATTCTGTCTTATAGCAAATTTCATAACAAACAATTTCATCAGTAATAGTTTTTTCTGTAAACTGCATATTTAAGAAGTTATATTGGAGAATGTTAGAAAAAACACGTGATTTTTTAGTATTTTTGCAGTTTTTAATTTTTTCTGCAAATAGCACACAACGTTTTTTCTTGGCGCAACCTTATATTTTCATTGTTTATATTATTTTCGACCGATTTTTACTAATATCTAATCTACGTCAAGCAACAGCCATATCTCCAAGGTTTCGAGCTTAATTCTCTTGAACTATTATCGTAGCTTTTAGTTCTAGGTGTTCAATGAGGCTGCTGCTATAATTGTTTAAGTTTACTGCGAACGTGGTATTATTGGTAAGTTCCGTAGGCTCTGCTGTGAAGATGGTAACAATTTATTTGTGATTAAAATTTTATTTCATATAGAATCTTCTATATGTGTCTCCACTACCGTACTAGAACCCAGCCGCCATGTCGTTTAATGGTGGAATATCGGCCCCTGCGTCGGATGACAGAGTGGCGGAAGAACGTCTAAAGCAGTGCTCTGTATAAGTTTCCGGATGAGGCAAATTGAGATAAGTTGCTATTTCTTTTGGCAAATTTTTTGATGCCAACCACTTGGTTAACACATTTTTCCCGGACATACTTCACAAGAAATATACGACTTGTAGTAACTGCCGGACGTAAAGCACAGTATTTGCGGTATATCTTCATTTGGTCTAGACTTGAAATCACAAAACATCTCGGAGAATGAGTTTTGGAATCGGGAATTCTTATAAAAATCTATTATCAGGTGCTACTTGCAAAAATTTCTCAATTTCCTCTTTCGTTAGAATTCTGGACTTTTTCGGACGGTATCCAACTGATTTGCTTTTCAGTTTTGGAAATTTTATGATATTTACATTATTCTTTGGCATTGAGTATACTTTTTAACATGGAATATACTGACCATATGTCAAGGGTTTAATTTTATTAATTTTATGTTCGAAATATGCCAGTAATTTCGCTTTGCATATTTTTTTAATTTTCTTCCCCTTCTAGATATAAAAATAACTATTACGAAATATTGAAACTTTCCTAAATGTCAAAAATATGCTTTAGTTAACTGGCGGGAAAATAATTTTTTTGTTGAAGAACAAGGTCTTTTTATACAGATGCTATTTGTTAATTTAATTGGATATGTTGCTTCAATTTATTTTCGAAAATTTATTTATTAGGTTTGAACTAATCAATTATCATAATTCTTTGTCTCAAAAATTCTAAATTAGGGCTCCCAATAGTTACAGTAGATTAAGTTCATTTTCAAATCTGAATTA